CCACACAATTACTACCAAATACTCAGAGATACCAGGAAATCTCTGGATCCTTAAGGTTTTACTTAAAGCTCTCTTTTAACTCTTTATCGGACAGGCACAGTGGCTCACGCCTGTAATCCCAGCACTTCAGGAGGCCAAGGTGGGCAGATCACCTGAGATCAGGAGTTCGAGACCAGCCTGGTCAACAGAGCGAAACCCGGTCTCTACTAAAAATACAAAAATTAGCTGGATGTGGTGGTGCGTGCTTGTAATCCCAGCTACTTGGGAAACTGAGGCAGGAGAATTGCTTGAACCCGGGAGGTGGAGGTTGTAGTGAGCCAAGATCATGCCACTGCACTCTCCAGCCTGGATGACCAGGTGAGACTCTGTCTCAAAAACAAAACTCTAAAAAAACCTCTTTATCCCTCATGTGGGTGCTAATGGTGGTAGTGTTAATCTTACGGCATCATAGGATTGTTGAGCTCAGATTGCAAAGGCCTTTGAATAAATGAAGCCATTCTTAATCTCAGTGTTATACTAGTCTGACATTTTAACCTTTAAGAATGATAGGAGGCTGGATGCAGTGGCTCACGCTTGTAATCCCAGCAGTTTGAGAGGTGGAAGCAGGCGGATCACTTGGTCAGGAGTTCGAGACCATCCTGGCCAACATGGTGAAAGCCTCTCTCCACTAAAATTGCAAAAATTAGCTGGCTGTGGTTACACCTGTAATTGCAGCTACTTGGGAGGCTGAGGCACGAGAATCGCTTGAACCTCGGAGGCGGAGTTACCCAGTGAGCCTAGATAGTGCCATTGCACTCAGTCTGGAGTGACAGAGGGAACTCTGTGCAAAAAAAGATCATGCCACTGCACTCCAGCCTGGATGACTGAGTGAGACTCTGTCTCAAAAACAAAAACAAAAACAAAAAAACCTCTTTATCCTCATGGGTGCTAATAGTGGTAGTGTTAATCTTACAGCATGTAGGATTGTTGGGCTCAGATTCTTAAAGGCCTTTGAATAAATGAAGCCATTCTTAATCTCAGTGTTATACTAGTCTGACATTTTAACCTTTAAGAATGATAGGAGGCTGGATGCAGTGGCTCACGCTTGTAATCCCAGCAGTTTGAGAGGTCAGAGCAGGCGGATCACTTGAGGTCAGGAGTTCGAGACCATCCTGGCCAACATGGTGAAAGCCTCTCTCCACTAAAATTGCAAAAATTAGCTGGCTGTGGTTACACCTGTAATTGCAGCTACTTGGGAGGCTGAGGCACGAGAATCGCTTGAACCTCGGAGGCGGAAGTTGCAGTGAGCCTAGATAGTGCCATTGCACTCCAGTCTGGGTGACAGAGGTAAACTCTGTGCAAAAAAAAAAAAAAAAAAGAAAAAAGAAAAAGAAAAAGATAGCAGATGTAGCCAAATTAATATCAAGAACCATTAGAAGGCTGGCCATGGTGGCTCACACCTGTAATCCCAGCATTTTGAGAGGCTGAGGCGGGTGGACTGCCTGGCCAACATGGCAAAATCCTGTCTCTACTTAAAATACAAAAATTAGCTGGGTTTGATGGCACACGCCTGAAATTCTAGCTACTCGGGAGGCTGAGGCAGGAGAATAGCTTGAACCTGGGAGCTGTAGGCTGCAGCGAGCTGAGATCATCGCATTCCAGCCTGGGTGACAGCACAGACAAAGAAACAAACAAAAAAACCCATTAAAAATGTAAAGAGATTCACCACAGACATTGAGGAGACTCCTTTCTGTTACTCCACATTTTTATATTCACTGTGTCCCATAACCACCAGTGAAGTTGTATGGCTGCGTTTCAGTCAGGTTTTGTATTTGTTGTGACTAGGTAGTTATCAGTACGTTTTCTAGTAATTTTTAGCCTGTTCCCATTTATTTTTTTTCATATGAAATATACTGAGAATTCACATTATGGATGCAGGAAGCTGTAGCATGAATATAAATATCTAGGATTTGACGTGAATGCGTACATACTTTGCCCTCTCTTTTTTTGTATTCTGGGTTAATAACACCACTGCACAGATGTGATGCTGTCTACAACATTCTTTCCTTTTTGTTTCGCCTGTTTCTTCTGCTGTATTAAGCTACATGAGAGTAGCATTTTGGCCTTGTCACTGCTGTATCCTTAGTGTCTAAGACAAGACTGGACACATGTTAGGTGCTCTAAGAATATTTGTTTAATGAAAATATGATGCTGGTAGTTCTCCGCCTCAAACCCTTTTGGAAGTAAAATGATTGTTTTGGGATGTTGTAGGCTGTAAGTTGCAGGAAACCAAATTAAAACATCTTAAGTGATAAACCCATCATTCTGCTTAGTGGAAAGTCTTGGGTAAGGTGGGTTTTGGGGGTTGGTGAAGTCAGTGGCTCAGCAGCATGAGCTCTGCTGTCTCTGGGTCGGCTGCCCCAGCTGGTTCCTCATGGTCAGAAGGTGGCTGCCCGCACAGTGAGCAGCGGTGTGCTTCCCTGTTCACGTCATCTGGGAGACAGGGAGACTGGCTTTTGTTTGCTAGGGATTGTATGTTTGAGAACCTAAATGCAGTAGAGAAAGGGGAAAAATGAAAAACATTTCCTTTCTTGGTAAGGACAGAAAGGATGAATTGAAGAAAACTGCAAAGAGAGCGAGAAGCCTCAGCGTGCATGATTTTGGAGATGCTGAGGTATGGGGTTACTGAGGCTTGTGGAGCTCTTTTTAAAGGTTTGGAGAAAGGTGAGAATTCAGCCATGCTTAGATATGGGGAAGGAGCTACATGAGAGACATTTGTTCTTCTGAGGTGCCCATTTGGGCTTCTGCTCACCTTACAAACCTTAGCGCCTTAAAGAAATACCTTAAAAAGCTAAAGCAGAAAACAAAAATGGCCCATAGTCTCAGCTTCCAGATAATAACTAATGATTTCAAAAAATGAAATGGGCTGGGTGTGGTGGCTCATGCCTGTAGTCCCAGCACTTTGGGAGGCCGAGGGAGGTGGATCACCTGAGGTCAGGAGTTTGAGACCAGCCTGACCAATATGCTGAAACCTCGTCTTTATTAAAAATATAAAAATTAACTGGGCTTGTTGGCATGCACCTGTAGTCCCAGCTACTCAGGGAGGCTGAGACAGGAAAATTGCTTGAACCCGGAGGGCAGAGGGTGCAGTGAGCTGAGATTGCACCACTGCATTCCAGCCTGGGCATTGCAGCGAAACTCCATCTCAAAACAAACAAACAAACAAACAAACATGCAAATTGTTAACTAATTTAAGCAGTACAGGAAGGGGTAATGGGACCAGTCACTGTCTTTGTTGTGTGACACACACAGAATCGCCACGTTGTGTTTCTAGAGACACATCCTTCACAGGTTTCAGGATTCCTCCCAGGAGGCAGCCTGCAGCACGTGCTGCTCCGCCTTGCCTGCCTGGTGATCTGTCCTCTGTGGAGGTGCCCGCTCCGCAGTCCTCTGTCGTGGGGCATGTTGGCATGCTTCTGCAGTTTATGTGATATTGCAGCGAGTGTTTTTATATATATACGTATATACGTGTTGGTGAACCTCTGCACATAGGCAAATTCCTAGTCACGGTGAGATTGCTGGGTCAAAGTATGTGAACTATTAAAGTTTCGACAGGTTTTGTCAAATTTCCCTCTGGAAAGGTTGCAGCAGTTTTCTTTCTGCCATCGCGCTTTCTCCTTGCTGGTGTCTTGGCGGTTTTCATTTCTGACCACGTGATAGGTACAGTAGTTAACTGTACAGCTGGAGTTGTATCTGTTGAATTGAGTGGGAAATTCAGTGTCTTTTTACGAGTTTGTTGGTCCTTTGTGTTCCTTTTCTGTGAACTGCTAAATGATTGCCTTTTCTGTGTGATGTGTGTGAACTTTGTAAGTGAAGGAAATAAGCTCCTTGCTGCCATATGGTTATGAATATTTCTTCTTCTTCTCTTTTTTTTTTTTTTTTGAGACAGAGTCTCTGTTGCCCAAGCTGGAGTGTAGTGGTGTCTCGTCTCACCGCAACCTCCGCCTCCCGGGTTCATGTGATTCTCCTGCCTCAGCCTCCCGAGTAGCAAGATTACAGGTGCCCACCACCAAGCCTGGCAATTATTTTTTTTTGAGACGGAGTCACCCAGGCTGGAGTGCAGTGGGATGATCTCGGCTCACTGCAACATCCGCCTCCCAGGTTCAAGCGATTTTCCTGCCTCAGCCTCCTGAGTAGCTGGGATTACAGGCACACACCACCACACCCAGCTAATTTTTGTATATTTAGTAGAGACGGGGTTTCAGCATGTTGGTCAGGCTGGTCTCAAACTCCTGACCTGCTGATCTGCCCACCTCAGCCTCCCAAAGTGCTAGGATTACAGGCATGAGCCACCGCGCCCGGCCATTTTTGTATTTTTAGTAGAGACGAGTTTTCACCATGTTGGCCAGGCTAGTCTCGAACTCCTAACCTCAGGCGATCCACCCTCCTTAGCCTGAGCCACCGTGCCCAGCTGTGACTGTTTCTTCTAATTTATCGGTTTTAAAGTCACATTTAGCTTTTTTTCCATACAGAAGATTTGAATTTTTATGGAGTTGACTTTATGAACCTTTTTCTTGATGACTTTTGTTTTTTTTTGCCCTGACCTGGCCACTCCATGTCACTCACTGCTGACACCAGTGTAGCACCCCTGCCTGGGCCATGTGGACCCCACTGGGAACTTTAAGTGTAGGCACCTGAGGGCTCCAGCAAGCCACGAGAATCCTCCATGTCCTTGACAGAGCTAAATGCTGTGTCCTTGGGGCTGCTTTATGTTTGTTGTGTGGTGTTAGACGCAGGTGGGCTGGGTGCTGAGGCTGAAGGCTAGTGTGGGAGGAGGGGAGGGGGTACAGAGGGCAGGGCACGTGAACCCCACTGCGGAGGTGTTTGTTAAATGCCAGGGGGGCACTGAGCTAAAATGGCCTTGGCTCTTCCTCAGCTGATGCTGAAGGGGGTAAGGATAGAGACTCGGCCAGACAGGTTATTCTCTTTCTGGGTATGATTTTGAACCTGCCTGTTCTTGTTCTGTAGGTGAAGAGATGGCGTTTGTGAAGAGTGGCTGGTTGCTGCGACAGAGTGAGTACAGGATGTGTGGCCTGCGATCAGCATTGCTGAAGGGCAATCTCTATTTCTGTTTGCTTAAAGCTGATCATGTTTAAAAACAAATACCAAGTTGTTTTTTTTTTTTTTTTTTTTTTTTTAAATTTATTTATTATTATTAAACTTCAAGTTGCAGGGTACATGTGCACAACGTGCAGGTTTGCTACATATGTATACTTGTGCCATGTTGGTGTACAAATACCAAGTTTTATGAGTGCCGTGGCCTTGAGTTTTCCCTTGGACATTCCTAGATCTCTGTGAACTGTCTTGCACACCACGAAGCTCCTCCTTGGTTGCTGAGTTGATAGGAACCAGGAAACAATAGCAGTCCCTGCTGCTTTCGCTCTCCTCACTAGCGTGCTTTATTTATTTTATTTTACTTTATTTATTTTTTTGAGACAGAGTTTCACTCTCGTTGTGGAGTGCAATGGTGCGATCTCGGCTCACCATAGCCTCCGCCTCTTGGGTTCAAGCGATTCTCCTGCCTCAGCCTCCCGAGTAGCTAAGATCACAGGCATGTGCCACCATACCCGGCTAATTTTGTATTTTTAGTAGAGAAGGGGTTTCTCCGTGATGGCCAGGCTGGTCTCAAACTCCCGATCTCAGGTGATCTGCCTGCCTCGGCTCCCAAAGTGTTGCGATTATAAGTGTGAGCCACAGTGCCCAGCCACGTGCTTTATTGTTAATGATGAATCTGGAACTGCCTGGATCTAACAACCCAGCCGAAATCTGGCACAGAGGTGCTGGTCTCTCTGCCTCTCTCCTCTGGGGATTGAGCAGTGACTCAGATTCTCAGATATTGGTGTCTTGGTAATTATGTGGCTGAAGAGTTGACCTGAGGCAATGAGTTTATCTAAAACCAAAACTTTTGTGTCTCCAAAAGGACTAGAGAAGAGACTCAGTTCTTTTTTTATGGGATTGAGATCCACTTTCCTAGGTTTATCTCCACAAACCTATCTTTCATACACTGTCTGCTTATCTGTGAGGCTGTCACTCCAGGTGGGATTCATACTGTGTTTTAAAGTGGGAAGAACCAGTCTTATTTATTAAAAAAAAAAGAGCAAGCAGGATATTCTGTTATACTAGAAAGAGTGAAGCTAAGGGAAAAGTGACTACTATGTCATTTATGATTCTAGTCAAAAACTGAGCTGTATCACATACCATTGATTGTTCAGAGACGTGAGTTTATCTATGAGGGGTACTTTCAGAAATCAGCTAAAGTCAAGTCTACCAGTGAGAATTGATGGCATACCTGAGATGGTTTATAAAAACTATTGTTTATGAATCGTTTGTGTTCCTGTTAAAAAGATTTTATGTATATATTCTTAATTCTCACAACAGCTGTATGATAGGTAAGTGGTATTATTTCCAGTTGAAGAAATCGAGGTTCAGTGAGGTTAGGTAATTTGTCTAAGTGTAAACTATGGGTGACAAACCTACATTCAAAGTCAGAACTGTGTGATTTCAACACTGACTCTATATGCACCCGGAGACCGGCCTTCAGCCTGTGTGTCTGTGACGAGTTCCACGGTCCCAACCTGGAGCTGAACCGTGTGCCCCTTTGTCTGTGATAGTCCTGTAGTCTTAGAATAGACAGAGGTGTTGTAGTGTCAGCTTCACGAAGGAAGTCCTGGAGCCCCAAGTTTCCTAGTCTTGGGTTTTGTGGTCCCAGCCTCCCCATAGTCAGGGGACATGGGGACCCTTGCTCAGACCTTGAGGGTGTGCCCTCCTTTGCTGGCCCTTCAGATGTCCTTTGGTGTTTCTCGCCAGGCTCTGCCACACCCTTGTTTGAGGGTAAGCTTTCCCTTCTCTGCCACAACTCGATGTAAGTGCTTTGTCAACATACTGATCAATGAGCCTTTGGACAATGTTGTGCTCCCCATCAGTGCCTAGCATGGGGACGTACATAAAATGGATGTAATTTAAATAAGTCACATAGACTTTTCCAGTATTCTGGTCCACGGGTGTTTCAGAAATGTGTATTCAGAAGACTTATCTATACATAACCCCATCCCCATACGTGTGGGTTAATTTTCCTTCTTTCCTGAAAGTAGAAGTATCAATGCCAGTAAAACGAGGTGAGATGTATTACATTCATGGGGTTGTAGAGTAGCAGAGACCCACATGTGATGTGGTCACATGTAGGCAAAGCCGTCCTTAGGACTTCTTTTCCTGCCATTGCTACATACAGTGCTGGGCCCCGGTCCTGGCCTCTGGAGGACAGCCTGATTTGGGAGTCTGCAGCCAGGGCTTTGATGGCAGGTGAGATACTTGGGCAGAACTCCCTAACCCAGTGGTTCCACCTGTCTCTGTTTCTGTGGCTCTATTTAGTAGGGATTTTTGTTTGTTTGTTTGTTTGTTTGAGGCAGAGTCTTTGTCGCTCAGGCTGGAGTGCAATGGCATAATCTCAGCTCACTGCAACTTCTGCCTCCAGTTTCAAGTGATTTTCCTGCCTCAGCCTCCTGAGTAGCTGGGATTATAGGTGTGCACCACCAGGCCCGGCTAATTTTTGTATCTTTAGTAGAGACGGCGTTTCACCATGTTGACCAGGCTGGTCTTGAACTCCTGACCTCATGGTCTGCTCGCCTTGACCTCCCAAAGTGCTGGGATTACAGGCATGAGCCACCGTGTCCGGCTTTTCTTTTTATTTTTAAGACAGGGTCTTGCCCCGCCGCCTAGGCTGGAGTGCAGTGGAGTGATAACTGCTCACTGCAGCCTTGATCAACCAGGTTCAACTGGTCGTCCTGCCTCAGAATCTCAAGTAGCTGGGACTGCTGGCCTGTGTTAGCATGTCTGCCTATTTTGCTCTTTGTAGAGATGGGGTCTTGCTATGTAGCCCAGGCTGGTCTCAAACTCCTGGGCTCAAGCGATCCTTCCACCTCAACCTCCCAAAGTGCTGGGATTACAGATATGAGCCATTGCGCCCAGTGTGTTTGGCAGTTTCTGCACAGCTCAGGCAGCCAATCAAATGGATGCTTGGGTATCACTTAGTGGTCAGTTGGGCAAGTGCAGTGGACACCCCTCCTGGTGAGGAGAGTGCCTGATACTGGCAGGAAAGCTGGATGCTACGTATCTGGTTGACACCAGTTGCAGGCACGACAACATAAAGGAAAGTACATAAAATGGGATTGTGTGTGTTGGCCAAGAATGGGGTGAGGTGTACAGGAACAGAAGGTGTAGTGGGCAGTGAGTGGATGTGAGGAAGGTACAGAGATGACCGGAGCTAGAACTGGCCTTTAAGTCCACTGCAGGGGTTTTCCCTTCATGCAGTCAAGGAAATTACTGTTTTATAAAGTTAAATACCTGGTCCAAGATCACAAATGAAAGGTTGAATTTGCTCAAGCTGACAGAAATATGTGAGGTAGTAGGATGTGCACAGCATGAGAGGCCAGGCAGGGCCTGGTCTATATCCTGCTGTGCTCATTTATCCAGTGTATGCATCAGGGGTGCCTTCCACACTGTAGGCTTCCTGTGGGAAATGGTAGGAGAGAGTATCTGTGAAAGCTCTTAAGGACAAGAAAAAAAATGTGTTGTTTTTTTTTTGAGACAGAGTCTTGCTCTGTCCCCCACGTTGGAGGGCAGTGGTGTGATCTCGGTTCACTGCAACCTCCACCTCCTGGGTTCAAGCGATTCTCCTGCCTCAGCCTCCCTAGTAGCTGGGATTACAGGCGCCCGCCACCATGCCCAGCTAATTTTTTGTGGTTTTAGTAGAGATGGGATTTCACCGTCTTGTCCAGGCTAGTCTCGAACTCCTGGCCTCAAATGATCCATCCGCCTTGGTCTCCCAAAGTGCTGGGATTACATGCGTGAGCCACCGTGCCTGGCCGAAATGTGTTTCTTCAAAAGAGGTAGGTATTATTTTTATTTGCATATAGAGACTTTACAGTCCAGCATTTTCTGATCTAGCAAATGTAGACAATATTTGGAAATTTAGAAACTTGAAAAGTTTGAAAGTTTTAAAGTTTAGTACTGTATGAGGAATTAAATGTTAGATATGTTTCATTTGCTGAAAAGTAACCCTTTTTTTTTTTTTTTTTTTTAAAAAAATAACACCTTAATTTGAAAGTGTTGGGACTTCTAAGTTGGTTGGCAGCCATTCTCTGTTGCCAGTGTGTGCTGCATGCAGCCTGCTAACGCACCAGTGGGCGGGCCCTGGGCTCGGCTTTCGCTTTCATTCTGAGGGACTGCTTTGGGTAATTCTATACAGGTGTCATTAAGGGGCCAGGGTAAGAGTTCTTTTTGTTTCTGCTGTGACTGTGTCCTTGCTCTTTTGGCTCAAAGCCAACCTTTCAGCTGGGCATGGCGGCATGTGCCTGCAGTTGCAGCTAAATGGGAGGCTGAAGTGGGAGGATTGCTTGAGCCCAGGGGTTCAAGGCTGCAGTGAGCTGTTGTGATTGTTGTGCTTGCGTGCGGCCTCCTCCTGCCTGAGTAGCAAACAAACTGCTTCCCTTTCATTCCTGAGACTCACCGTAATCTCTCAAATATCTGTCAGAAACAGAAAAAGATCTTTGTTTCTGCTGCGGCTATGTCCGCCTCTTACAACTCAGCCAACCACCCTGCTGACATAACATATACCTACAATTACAGCATCGAAACTAAGTAGGAAGATTACCAAACCCAGGGTTTCAAAGCTGCAATGGTATGATCATATTTGTGAATGCCACTGCATTCCAGCTGGTGAAATATTAAGACTCTGTCTCTAAAAACCTAACCTTACTTTCAAATTTTCTTCAGAGCGCTGGAAAAGAACTTGGGGTTTGATCTGTGGTAGGATGGTCACCTAATCTATTATGATGACCATTTCGGCAGGAGAATCTCTGTTGAGGATAAGGTCCACATGCCCAGTGGACTGTATCAGCATCCGCTTGCAGAGCCCAGGAGTGTCGGGAGTGAGCTGGCCTGTCTTGGCCGCTTCTGTCTTCTCTTCTCTATCTCGGTAGGAACTGGGTCCTCCTTCCCGTTCTGCTTTCATTAGATTGAAGGAGCTCCATCTCAGGCGGCCACAGTGGCGCCCAAGCATAGATTGTGAACCACATGAGTAGGGGCAAATCAGTTTTCTCACCTGAGTTAAACTCTGATCCCGTCTCCCTCTTCTCATGGAGAAACCTTAGAAGCGCTAGGAACCTCAAGCACAGAGCCACCTAGACTGTTGATTTTGTACTCAGAAACTAGCTTCTGTTTGATAGTGACTGCAATCAATTGGCAAATCTGGGATGTTGGCTGGTGTGGTGGCTCATGCCTGTAATCCCAGCTGGGAGTGAAGGTGGGTGGATCGCGAGGTCAGGAGTTCAAGGCAGCCTGGCCAAGATGGTGAAATCCCATCTCTACTAAAAATACAAAAAAATTAGCCAGGTGTGGTGGCAGGTGCCTGTAATCTCAGCTACTTGGGAGGCCGAGGCAGAGAATTGCTTGAACCCAGAGTCAGGGTTGCAGTGAGCCGAATACGTTGCATAAGACGTCATCTTGGCTGGTCCTGTCAGTCAGCCTAGCTATATTCTTTCTTTCTGCATTATTGGAAAGGCAGGGGGTTCTTTCATAGATGTAGCACTTGATTTTTTGTCTAGTCCTTTGCTTCTCTTAGCTGGTAGTTCTTAGAAAATGTAAGAAGAAATCCTGAAAAATGTTCTTTTCTTCTGCTTGTTTTTCATAGATATTCAGCCTCCAGATGGAAAGTCCAAAAGAACTGCATGCTCCAGATTGTTTGTGAGATGGGGAAAACAATTGAAAGATCTTTGTGCAGAAAGCACAGATGATTGCTTGTAAGTTTTGCTTTCTTACGTGTTTAATTTAAAAAGTATTTTCTATTTTAACTTCTGATTACCAAAAAATGAAAGAATGGCGTGAGTTCTCTTTCAGGCGTCAGAATAAGGACTCAGTGGATGTGTGAGAGAAATGCAAGTCAGCACTCATTCTGAATTTCTATTCAGCAAGACTGCCTGAGCCTATCGAATTGTGGAGAAAATGGCTAAAAAGGAATAGCAGTCTCGTCATGCTCTCTCTTTTTTCTTTTTCTTTATTATTATAGCACAAGTTTTTTATTATTATACTTTAAGTTTTAGGGTACATGTGCACAACGTGCAGGTTTGTTACATATGTATACATGTGCCATGTTGGTGTGCTGCACCCATTAACTAGTCATTTACATTAGGTGTATGTCCTAATGCAATCCCTCCCCCCTCTCCCCACCCCAAGACAGGCCCCAGTGTGTGATGTTCCTTGCTCTGTCAATTCCCACCTGTTCTCACTGTTCAATTCCCACCTATGAGTGAGAACATGTGGTGTTTGGTTTTCTGTCCTTGCGATAGTTTGCTCAGAATGATGGTTTCCAGCTTCATTCATGTCCCTACAAAGAACATGAACTAATCCTTTTTTTATGGCTGCATAGTATTCCATGGTGTATATGTGCCACGTTTTCTTAATCCAGTTTATCGCTGATGGACATTTGGGTTGGTTCCAAGTCTTTGCTATTGTGGATAGTGCCCCAGTAAACATACGTGTGTATGTATCTTTCTAGCAGCATGATTTATAATCCTCTGGGTATGTGCCCAGTAATGGGATGGCTGGGCCAAATGGCATTTCTAGTTCTAGATCCTTGAGGAATCGCCATATTGTCTTGCACAATGGTTGAACTAGTTTACAGTCCCACCAACAGTGTAAAAGTGTTCCTATTTCTCCACATCCTCTCCAGCACCTGTTGTTTCCTGACTTTTTAATGATCGTCATTCTAACTGGTGTGAGATGGTATCTCATTGTGGATTTGATTTGCGGTTCTCTGATGACCAGTGATGATGAACATTTTTTCATGTGTCTGTTGGCTGCATAAATGTCTTCCTTTGAGAAGTGTCTGTTCATAGCCTTTGCCCACTTTTTGATGGGGTCATCATGCTCTCTTTCATTATTAAATTCACAGTGGGTAATAGGCATAGTTGAAATAAAATGACCAGAAAAGCAAGAACGTAAAGAGTGAGGAAACTCAGTTCCTAGGGCTCCTGTCACAAATTGCTGAACACTGAGTGACGGAAATGGCAGAAATTCCTTGCCTCACAGTTCCGGAGGCTGCAAGTCTGGAATCAGTGTGTCAGCAGGTCCTTGTTCCCTCTGAGATGCTAGGTAGGATCCTTTCTTGCCTCTTCCTGGCTTCTAGTGGTTTCTGGTAGTCCTTGGTGTTCCTTGGCTGGCAGCCACATCACTCCGGTCTCTGCCTCTGTTGTCACATGGCCGCCTTCTGCTGTGTCTGTGTCCAGAATTCTCTTTTCTTATAAAGGACACCAATCATAATGGACTAAGGACTCACCTTCATTCACTGTGACCTTATCTTAATTTGATTCCATATGCAAATATCCTGTTTCCAAATAAGGTCCCATTCCAGGGTACTGGGGATTAGGATTTATGCATATCTTTTTCATAAGGATGCAATTCAGCCCATAATAGAGAACTTTGAGAAAGACGATGAAGTGGATTAGATCATCTTCCCTCAGGGGAAAACATTTCAATGGTGTGACCAGATAAAGAAGTTTGGTCTCAAGCACAAACTACAAACAGCTAAAGAAAGAAATAGATGATTCTACTGATATGTTTTTTAATCCTACCCGAATCCCGGAAGCAGTAACTAGATAAGTTAATTAAATCTTGCAAATTTTCGGTATTACCCTGTAGTCTGGAGTGATGCTGATTAAGTGTAAGTTACTTTTTGGAGAAGCTAAGGAAAAAAGTTCTTGAGAATGTGATGTCCTTGGGGCCTCAGCTGAGGCTGGACGATTCTCCCAGGACTCATCATTGCAGGGCACTGAAAGGCACTGAAGCTCACAGGAGTTGGGTAATTTTCTGGCTGGTGAAGTGAGCACTAGCATGGGACATTCAAAGGAATATGCTCAGAAGAGAGTGTAGGACCCAGATTTTTCAGAAAAGACTTACTCATTCTCAGAAGAGATTTCCTTCTCTTCTAGCCCTCTGCCCTCATATTACAGAATGTTGATTGTGAGGGTGACACCTAGCCATCAAACTGTTGCTGGGCTGGACTGAGGTGGAACAGGGTGGAACTACTAGTTGATACCAGATTAGGTAGGAAGAGTGTCAAGGAGAAATAACTCATAGTTTATGAGAGCAAACAAGTTTTAGATATCACTTCCCATGTTAAACATGAGCAGGATGTAAGGAAGTGGCTTGGCAACTATGCAGATATACCATGAAGGAAAAATAAGAAAAGGAAAATGTAAGCCTCAGGAAAAGCTCCTAGAGTGGAGGGAAATAAAATCCAAGGAACAGAAGCAGCGTCTTCAGGAATGCTTTCCTGGCCACCATATTTAAAATTACATCTCCCTGTCCCCATACACACTCACCAGCTACCAGCTGTTTATCTTGTTCATCATCTGCTTTCATTAGAATATATGCTGTGTGAGGGCAGAGATTTACGTTTCATTTCTCCTCTTTTGTGTCTGTCGCTGTCAAGAGGGTGTCATTCACATTATCATCTGAGGAAAGTGGTCTTCCCTTGCATACAACCCCAAACGAAAAGTGAATCACTGGCATGGAGGGAAAGACTGGAGATACTCTCAGTGAGGGGAAAAAGATGAAAAGATCAGAGATACGTTGGACTAAAAAAAGTTCAGAAAGATTATTGATGTTCATAAAGTACAGAACCCAAAAGAGGTAATTAGAAATTCAGGGCAAGAGAAATGTTCTGAAATAATCGAACAGAATTTGCAGACCAAAGGCCACACTAGACTCTTCCACCTGAAATGACAACAAAATCTATGTAAGATACATGAATAATCCAGTATGATACCCTTTAGCAAAGTGAATGACAATGGAATGCTGCATACAAAATCAGTTGGGGAATTTTGCAACTTAACTGCATTTCGTAGAAAGCCAGAACACTTGGCTGAGCGCGGTGGCTCACGCTTGTAATCCCAGCACTTTGGGAGGCCAAGATGGATGGATCACCTGAGGTCAGGAGCTCGAGACCAGCCTGACCAACATGGTGAAACCTTGTCTCTACTAAAAATACAAAAATTAGCTGGGTGTGGTGGTGGGCACCTGTAATCCCAGCTGCTCGGGAGGCTGAGGCAGGAGAATTGCTTGAACCTGGGAGGCAGAGATTGCGGTGAGCCAAGATCGCGCCACTGCACTCCAGCCTGGGTGACAGAGCGAGACTCCATCTCAAAAAAAAAAAAAAAAAGCAAGAACACTTGAAAATAAATGAATGCATCTTTCAACTCAGGGAGATAGTAAAATGAGAATAAAACATAAAAGGAATTGATGAAGATAAGAGGGATAGGGTCAGTAAAAAAAGTAAGAGGTAAAGGAGTGAGGGAGTGCTCAAGAGAACGCTTTTTTTGTTTTTTGAGATGGAGTTTTGCTCTTGTCGCCCAGACTAGAGTGCAATGGCGTAATCTCCACTCATTGCAACCTCTGCCTCCTGTGTTCAAGCAATTCTCCTGCCTCAGTCTCTGGAGTAGCTGGAATTACAGGCACGTGCCACCACGCCTGGCTAATTTTGTGGTTTTAGTAGAAGCTTGGTTTTACCATGTTGACCAGGCTGGTCTCGAACTCCTGACCTCAGGTGATCACCTACCTCAACCTCCCAAAGTGCTGGGATTACGGGTGTGAGCCACCGTGCCCAGGTGAGAGACCACTTTTTGTGTATCAATTAAGAAAGCTCTTGTGATACTTAAGATTCAGATATCTAGTTTCTTTGACAATATAGTGGAAAGTAGGTAGGTATAGAGATTGTTAGAATAGGTTCGCAGGGCCATTTGGCAATACATGCTGAAATAAATTATGTTTATATCCTTTGATGTGGCATTTTCAGTCTTTGGAATTTGCCCTATGGAAATATCTACATAAGAGTGCAAGCGTAATAGGGATGTTAATAGCATTCTTTTCTTCTTCTTTTTTTTTTTTCTTGAGATAGAGCCTGTCTCTGTCATCCGGGCTGGAGTCCACTGGTGTGATCTTGGCTCACTATAGCCTCGACCTCCCAGGTGCAAGCCATTCTCCCACCTCAGCCTCCCAAGTAGCTGGGACTACAAGCATGTGCCACCATGCCCAGCTAATGTTTGTATTTTTTGTAGAGCTAGGATTTCACTATGTTGCCCAGGCTGGTTTTGAACTCCTGGGCTCAAGTGATCTCCCTGCCTTGGCCTCCCAAAGTGCTGGGATTACAGGCATGAGGCACTACATCTGGTCTCCAGCATTCTTTTTAATGTTGAAAATTGCTAATAATCTAAATTTACTTGTATCATGGAATATTACATAGCTGTTAAAAAGGAAGATCTGTGTGTATGCCATGAACTGACAAAGCAAGTGGAAGTGCATTTCACATTTATTAAAAAGTAAAGTAAAAAATATAGTATAGATTATGTTTTAAATATTATGTATCTATTATGGATGTAATTTTTAAAAATATATATTCCTAGTGCATGTCTCAAGTGGTTTGGGGCAAGGCCTGAAGACCTGTTCTTTAAACAGATCTTTTCAGGAATTCTGATGCCAACTCTGGTTTGAGAATCACTGAAATACTGGATTGCCTTAAATAAAGTACCCTTTTTCTTTTCTCCAGGGCCTGGAAATTTACACTCCAGGATTCTAGGACAAACACAGTAAGTTGCTAATGGCAATCACCTATAATTTTTTTTTTTTTTTTTTTGACAAGGTATCACTCTTTCACCCAGGCTTGAGTGCAGTGGTGCTATCTCAACTCACTGCAGCTTCTACCTCTGGGCTGAAATGGTCCTCCCACCTCAGCCTCCCCTTCCCAGTAGCTGGGACTATAGGCCCATGCTGCCGTGCCTAGCTTATTTAGAAAAATGTTTTTGTGGAGATGAGGTCTCACTATGTTACCCATGCTGGTATCAAACTCCTGGGCTCAAGTGATCCTCCCACTTTCACCTCCCAAAGTGTTGGGATTACAGGCATGAGCCACCACACCTGGCCACCAGTAATGTTTTCACATGGTCTTATGTAACAATTGGAGAATGGGGAAAACGGGCTTCTTGGCCATCCAGCCGTGAATGGGCAGGTAGCACTGGGCAGGCACCTTTCACCAACAGTGAGCAAGCTGGGTTTGCCAAATGTTTTTGGCAGGAAGCACCCTCCTCACACAAGCATGCTTGTTCCAGTGTTGCTTTCTAGAAACGTTTGTATTTCTCAAAGTTCTTCAACACTTTGAATTCTGCTGTGGTTTGCAGTAAAGGCTAAGAGAAAGAACTTCAGGATCCTTTTCATGCATGGGAGCTCAGCCTTGTGAAACAAATATTTTTGTGACTTGTACTTGTCTCTCGTCCTGTTTCTGGCCTTAGGAGGTCACTGAGACAGTGAACCTCATTTGTAAGAGCCTTGTAATGCCATCTTTATCTGTCAGGGATCAAGGGAGTATTACTCTGGTCAGAGTTTTCATTCTTTAGATGGGATTTTCCCTTCCTTTATCTTTGTAAGAAAAGAAAAGGTGGATCAAGCTTACAGAAGAATGTGTGCATGTGGGAGAAGAAAGTAAAAGGCTTAATATCCAAGCGTCAGTGTTCTCTTCTTTTGTCACAACACAACTTCATTCTAAGCTTACTCTACAGCTGCGGTTACCTTTTCTTCATGAAAATCCTTTTTTTTTTTTTTTTTTTTTTTTGAGACGGAGTCTTGCTCTGTAGCCCGGGCTGGACTGCAGTGGCCGGATCTCAGCTCACTGCAAGCTCCGCCTCCCGGGTTTACGCCATTCTCCTGCCTCAGCCTCCGGAGTAGCTGGGACTACAGGCGCCTGCCACCTCGCCCGGCTAGTTTTTTTTTTGTATTTTTAGTAGAGACGGGGTTTCACCGTGTTAGCCAGGATGGTCTCGATCTCCTGACCTCGTGATCCGCCCGTCTCGGCCTCCCAAAGTGCTGGGATTACAGGCTTGAGCCACCGCGCCCGGCCGAAAATCCTTTTTTTGGGGTAAAATTAGTATTAACGATCCATACAGTTAAGGGCAAGCTCCACAAATGATTCTTTGTGGGATTTTTATTTATTTATTTTTTTTTGAGACAGTCTTGCTCTGTGGCCCAGACTGGAGTGCAGTGGAGCGATCTTGGCTCACTGCAACCTTTGCTTCCCAGGTTCAAGCAGTTCTCCTTTCTCAGCCTCCTAAATAGCTGGGATTACAGGAGCATGCCACCACGCCCAGCTAGTTTTTGTATTTTGAGTAGAGATGGGGTTTCACCATGTTGGTCAGGCTGGTCTTGAACTCCTGACCTCGTGATCTGCCCACCTCGGCCTCCCAAAATTGTGGGATTACAGGCGTGAGCCATTGCACCTGGCCACATTTTTTTTTTTTTTTTTTTTGAAGCGCTAACATGTTTTTCTTTAAATTACATTGGGGAGTAATTTAATGAAGAATTTTGTTTTTTAAGGTAAAAAACAGACTGTGTATAGGACATAATCTCTGATACATTTTAGATTGTAGGGTTTTTATTTGTGAATAAAGGACTGTTGAGAGTGCTGTAACATCTTTATTTCTTTGGAGACAGAGTCTCGCCCTGTTGCCTGGGCTGGAGTGCAGTGACTTGATCTTGGCTCACTGCAGTCTGGAGCTCCCGGGCTCAAGTGATCCTTGAGATTTAGCCCCTTGAGTAGCTGGGGCCATAAGCACCATGCCCAGTTAATTTCTTGTTGTTTGTAGAGATGGGCTCTCCCTTTGTTGCCTAGGCTGGCCTTGGAACTCCTGGGCTCTAGCGATCCTCTCGCCCAGCCTCCCAAAGTGTTGGGATTACAGATGTGAGCCATTGCACCTGGCCTGAAGTAACATCTTTTAAAAGGCATTGGGTAACAGTGGGGCCTCTGAGTACCTTCCTGGCTGTGAGAGCTGTAATCCTGTTAGGGGTTGAGTGAGGAGCACTTCGCTCCTGCATTTAGAGGATACCAGAGTAGGGCTGGGGGCACCCACTGGACCGGGAAAGTTTTTCCTATTTTGCAGAGAGCTATATATCTGTTTGTCTTTTAAAATTTTTAATTTGCTAAATAAAAGGGACAATGCACAGCATCATTGAGCACACAGGTGCTGGGAAGCTGTCCTGCCCTCACCCTCTCCTCTCTCCCGCAGGCGTATGTGGGCTCTGCCGTCATGACTGATGAGACATCCGTGGTTTCCTCGCCTCCACCATACACGGCCTATGCTGCACCGGCCCCTGAGGTAGGGAGAACCCTGAGCCTTCAGGTGAGGGAAGCTTGGGGTCTCTGCTACTGTCCTGCTTTGTTTTTTGAATGAAATGAGAAATGTACTCTAAACCTTTTCTTCTTAAAACAGATGATTTCTTACCAACTTTTGTTTTCATGAAATAAAGCAACTATTTTATATAGTTCGGCACATTGTAATGTGCTGTATTAATGTGTAACAAGTTTTTAAGATCTAAAAATGCATCATGTTAATGATAGTTGCTTTGGGTAATGAGATTTTGATGATCTGTAGTTTATATGGAATGAATTACTCGACTTCTCCTTATAGTCAGAAAAAAATGCTATATTTTGGGGAAAATAATCCTTACAAAAATCATGTCAAATACTTTGGGATGTCCTCTTGTTGGGGTGCTTGGGGTGCTGACTGAGCTGGTTTGTATGTAAGTCTGTTGTGTGGAACGTGCTGCTTTTTTTTTTTTTTTCTTTGAGATGGAGTTTTGCTCTTCTTGCCCAGGCTGGAGTGCAGTGGCACTATCTCGGCTCACTGCAACCTCTGCCTCCCAGGTATAAGCGGTTCTCCTGCGTCAGCCACCCGAGTAGCTGGGATTACAGGCGCTTGCCACCATGCCGGGCTAATTTTTTGTCTTTTTAGTAGAGGTGGGGTTTCACCATGATGGCCAGGCTGCTCTCGTACTCCTGACCACAGGTGATCCACCTGCCTCTGCCTCTCAAAGTGCTGGGATTACAGGCGTGAGCCACGGCGCCTGGCTGGCACTTGTAAACTTTCTAAGCTCACTTACTCTAGTTCCTTTTTCTGTAGATTCTTTGGGGTATACTACATAGGCAATCATGTCATCTACAAATAGGAACAGTTTTCTTTGTAACTTGTATGCCTTCTGTTTCCTTACCTTGCCTTACTGCCTTGGTTAGACCTTCAGATATTATGTTGAATAGCAGTAGTGAGAGAAGACATCCTTGCCTTGTTCCTGATTTTAGGGGGGATGTATTCAATGTTTTTCTTTCTTTTTTTTTTTTTTGAAACAGAGTCTCACTCTGTCACCCAGGCTGGAGTGCAGTGGCATGATCTTGGCTTACTGCAAGCTCCACCTCCCGGGTTCACGCTATTCTCCTGCCTCAGCCTCCCGAGTAGCTGGGACTACAGGCACCTGCCACCATGCCCAGCTAAATTTTTTTTTTTTTTTTTTTTTGCATTTTTAGTAGAGATGGGATTTCACCATGTTAGCCAGGGTGGTCTCGATCTCCTGACCTCATGATCCACCCACCTCTGCCTCCCAAAGTTTTGGGATTATAGGCGTGAGCCACCGCGTCCGGCCAGTGTATTCAGTTTTAAGTATGCATTCATTTAGTATTAATGTACTGTTTAATTCAGTATTTAATTAGTGTTGAATTTAGTTTTTACATATGCATTTATTTAGTATTTAATGCATTCATTAAGTATGCTGTTAGCTGGAGGTTTTTTATATTTATTCTTCATCAGGTTTAGGAATTCCCTTTTTCTAGTTTCCAGGAGTGTTTATCGTGATGGGGTGTCAGTTGCCTGCCTTCCTGCCTGCCTTCCTGCCTTCCTTCCTGCCTTCCTCCCTTCTCCTCCCCTCCCTTCCCTTCCCCTCCCCTCTCCTCCCCTCCCCTCCCCTCCTTCCCCACCCAGAGATGAAGACTCACTCTCTTGCCCAGGATGGAGTGCAATGGTACTATCATTAGCTCACTTCAGCCTGGAATTCCCTGGGCTGAGGCAATCATCCTGCCTCAGCCTCCTGAGCCACCACGGCTGCAAAAAAAAATTTTTTTTTTGGTAGAGACAGGGTCTTGCTCTGTTGCCCAGGGTGGTCTTGAACTCCTGGCCTCAAGTGATCCTCCTGCTTCAGCCTCCCAAAGTGATTTTGTTAAATACTTTTTCTACAGTAATTAATATGATTGTGAGGTTTTGTTTTTCTTTTTAGCCTGCTAATATGGTGGATTATAATGTTTGGCTTTCACATACTGAACCAACCTTGCATTCCCTGGAATAAAACCTACTTGGTCATGGTGTATGATTCTTTTTATTTATTGCTGAATTCAATTTGCTAATATTTGTTAAGGATTTTTGCATCTATATTTATGAAGGATATTGGTCTATAGTTTTCTGTCTTTGTGCTTTGTCTTATTTTATCAAGGCAATACTGACCTTATAGAATAAATCGGAAAGTGTTTTCTGCTCTTTTCTTTTCTGGGAGAAATTGTGTAGAATTGTAGTTAATTCTTCTTTAAAATTTGGTAGAAATCTCCAGTGAAACTATCAGGTTCTAGAGGTTTCTTTCTTGGGAGATTTTAAATGACGACATCTGTTTTCTTTTTCCTTTTTTTTTTTTTTTGAAACGGAATCTCACTCTGTCACCCACGCTGGAGTGCAGTGGTGCGATCTTGGCTCACTGCAAGCTCCACCTCCTGGGTTCACACCATCCTCCTGCCTCAGCCTCCTGAGTAGCTGGGACTACAGGTGCCACCACCACGCCTGGTGAATTTTTTGTATTTTTTAGTAGAGACGGGGTTTCACCATGTTAGCCAGGATGGTCTCGATCTCCTGACCTCATGATCCACCTGCCTCAGCCTCCCAAAGTGCTGGGATTACAGGCGTGAGCTACCGCACCCAGCCTCTTTTTCCTTTGTTTGGCTTAACCAACACACGTCTATTTGTCACAGTTCTGGAGGCTGAAGGCCCAAGATCAAGGTGCTGGCAGTGTTGGTTCTCCCGAGGCCCCTTCTGAGCTTGCACATGGCCTTCTCCTCCCTGTATCCTCATATGACCTTTCCCTCCAGGCCTACTGCAGATGCAGCTTTCTTAATAGTGACTGGTCTACTCAGATTCTCTAGTTTGCATGGAGTAGGTTTTGATAGTTTGTAGTGTTTGTGGAATTGTTCCTTTTCTTATAAGTTGTCTGATTTATGTGTGTAGAGTTCTTTATAGTGTTTTCTTATTATCCTTGTGATGTCTGCAGAGTCTATAGTAAAAATCCTCCAGTTCATTCTTTCCTGATACTGGTCATTTGTCTTTGCTCTTTTTGACAGTTTAGTAAAGGTTTTATTAATTTTATAAATAGCTTCAAAGAAATAGCTTTTTGTTTTACTCACTTTTTCTGTTTCTCAATTTCATTGATTGTACTCTTTTATTTCCTTCCTTCTGCTTGCTCTGTGGACTTTGGTTTTCAAAAGTTTGACTGTAATGTGTATTTGTATGGATTTCTTTGGGATTATCCTGCTTGGTATTCATTCAGCTTCTTGAATATATGGGTTTGGGTTTTTGCTAAATTGGGGAAATTTTAAACCATTATTCCTTTTTTTTTTTTAATTTTTTTTTGAGACGGAGTCTCGCTCTGTGGCCCAGGCTGGAGTGCAGTGGCGCGATCTCGGCTCACTGCAAGCTCCGCCTCCCGGGTTTACGCCATTCTCCTGCCTCAGCCTCCAAAGTAGCTGGGACTACAGGTGCCCGCCACCTCGCCCGGCTAATTTTTTTTGTATTTTAGTAGAGACGGGGTTTCACCGTGTTAGCCAGGATGGTCTGGATCTCCTGACCTCGTGATCCGCCCGTCTTGGCCTCCCAAAGTGCTGGGATTACAGGCGTGAGCCACCGTGCCTGGCCTTAAACCATTATTCTTGAGTGCTTTTCCAACCTCAGCCTCCTTCTACTCCCTCTGGCACTCTGATGACATCCCTGTTAGTCTGATGTGTCCCAGAGATGCTCTTTTTTTTTTTTTTTACTTCAATCTATTTCTCCTCTGTTGTGTTCTGATTGGGTAATTTCTACACTTTATATTCATGTTTATGGATTCCTTCCTTTTGTCATCTCCATTATGTTGTTGGGCTCATTCGTTGAACTATTTAAATTGGTTATTGTATTAGTTCTGAAATTTTTATTTGGTTATTCTTTATATCTTGATATATAAAAAATTGAATGTATATATCTGTATACTTTTTACTGAGATTTTTCTGTTTTATGATAGATACTTTATATTTTTTATTTATTTCAAGTATGTTCATAATTGCTTGTTGAAAAGTTTTTATGATAGCTGCTTTAAAAATCTTTCCGGATAATTCCAACATCTTTGCCATCTTTGTGTTTGTGTTTTTTGTTGTCTTTTCTCATTTAGTTGAGATCTTCCTGGTTCTTGGTGTGATGAATGGCTTTTGATCAAAAGCTGTACATTTTAAGTACTGTAAGACTGAATCTTATTTAAATCTCATGTTTTAGCAGACCTGCTTCTCAGGGGCTGCTTTATTGCTGCCAGGTAGAGGTGGAAGTCCAGGCTCGCCTTGAGCCTCAGTTGACACCCATGGTCCAGGTTTCTTGTCGCTGTGGAGGGAGTTGTCAATTTAGGTTCTCACTAGATCTCCACTGAAATCACCCTGTCTGAGAAGAGGAAAGGCTCTTACTGCTTCCCCCAGAGCCTCCGCTGATACCATGGTTGCCACTGAGACGTCCTGAAAGACTCACTCTCAGCTTGGTCTCAGTGGAATAGGGAGGGCACCGTATTTTCTGCTGGGTGGGAGTGGGGTTCTGGTTCCCCACACGGTCTCCGTGGACACCACCCAGTGGGATGGGGGTGTTTTGTTTCCATCTGGCAGGGAAGAAATTCCCAGCCCCCTACTCAGTCTTACTCGACGGTGTTCTGAGGACCCGGCAGTGCCTGCTGAGCATGGAAATTCAGGCTCTTCACACTTGGCCTTTGCTGGTGTGAGGCTGAAGGTTTTTCTGTGGTGGTTCTCTGGAGTAGAGAGGTTATTGTCTAAAAATGTTCTGTCTTGCTAGGTTGCTCCTTTCTTTCTTAGATTCTTTGTTAAAGCGAGCAGCTCTTCTCAGGGTCTTTTTGGTCTGCACTGATTGGCGCTTCCAGCTTGCCACCTTCCCCATTACCCAGTGTGGGATGTGTGAAGCAAAAAGGAAACCCAGGTCCTCCCTCAGGTGCTAAAGTTCCTTGCCCGTCTGTCTTCTCCTCACTCTTCAGTCTTCTTGTGTTTGCTTTGTATATAATGTCCAGAGATTGTAGTTGTACTTAGCAGGAGGAATACAGGAAAGAATGTCTACTCCGTCTTTGAGAAGTGGGAGTCTTGTCTTCTGCTTTTGTAAGATAACAGGTTTAGATCTACACACACATTTGCCTGGCTACACCTCTGTTCTCCCTGTATCAGAGCACTTGTCACAGAATGACAGTGATTGTGCAAGTATGTCTGATCTCCTCTCGCCTGTGAGTATGCCAGGAAGGCCGGTCTTGATTTCAGTATTTCTCAGCACATAGTGGTCATTCACTGCCGGTTGAGGTGGGTCTGCTGCCCATTTCTAGCCATGTCTTTTCATAGGTGTGTGCAGCCCGAAAACCATCAGTCACCTGCCCAGGTACCTCAGGACACCCTCATCTTCCATATTGTGCCTGGAATTGCTGAACTTGGGCCACAGAGGGGTCTGCTTCCAGGCTGGCTTCGCCTGGAGGATAGTGGTTTTGGTGAATCTCCTTATCACCTGGTCCAACCGTATCATTTTACAGATGGGCAAAGGAAGGCCTAGGTAGGTGACTTACTGAAGGTCAGGTTAACAGCACAACTGAATTGAAATCCAAATCTCATGCAAGTCCAGTTCTCTTCTTTTGTTGTGTTTTTCTGCCTTCTTCATTCTGTAGCCTGAAAGTGGGCTCCAATTGTAGCTTTTGTTTGTTTTTTAGTAATTTTAAAACAGGGGGCATAACCACACTGTTTCATGTTTTGTTTTGTCTTTTTAATTGACTGTTAAATTTTATTGATTGCAAACTGGAGACCACAATTTTAATACATTACTAGAAGTTTCACAATTGTATTTCTAATGGGCCTGTTTCTTTGCAGCAGGCGTACAGCTATGGGCCATATAGTGGTGCGTACCCGCCAGGAACTCAAGTTGTCTATGCTGCGAATGGGCAGGCGTATGCCGTGCCCTATCAGTACCCATATGCAGGTAACTCAAGCCAGCCTTTCATTCCTCATTTCTGTCCATTTGCTGAGTAGACCAGAGAGACCTGTAAACATTTTTATTTTTCAGTTTAAGGTTAAGTGAGCTGTATTTTCTGGTTGTAGACCACAAATCACTGTGTTACTGTGCTTTAAAAAAGCCTTTGGTAGTTTCATACTGCTCTGCAAAGCTAGAGTAGGCTTGATTTTTAGAACTTTGCTAATTGTGTCTGGATTAGTTCTCAGAGAATTTCGTACTTATTGGGATTCACTTACATTGAGAAGCAGCCAGAGTAAGAGGCCCATTTTAAGGGATGAGAGGGACCTTTCAGCTGTTCTTCTGGTGAATTCCTTGGAAAGTTATCACTACTGAGGTGATGTTCTGTTTCACAGTAGAGTAGAGGCCTGGAAAGGGCTTGTATTTATTCTGGGCTTGGAGTCTGTTCTTTCTGTTCTTCACCTTACATGAAACACATGGCAGGTGTGAGTAGCTGGTGTAGGGGTATCGTGTCTGGGTCTCCTGGGCAAGGTGGTTGGCAGGGTGGAGGTGTGGGACAATGCTGGCCATGGCTGGGGCTGTAGTGAGGGTGGGGAGAGCAGAACTGTGGCCGATGGCCCCTGTGAAGTGAGGCTGGCCAGGCACAGTGGGCACAGCACCATAGCACAGGATGCACAGGTGGGTGGGCTGGAGCCAGAGGCTGAGCTCAGGAGAGACAGGAATGTGGGGGTTTGCAGAAGGAGGAGGAATCCCGGGCTGTGAGCAAAACTAGCATGGTGTCTCAGTGCAGAGGCAGAGGGAGGTGAGCTGGTACCAGAAGGGTGGGCCACTGATCGTGGTGCCCAGAGAAGTCAAGGAGACTTCTGGTTACAATCTCAGATGGTGTCCTTGTAGTTGTTGGTGGTTGCTTTGGCTTTGGATGCATTTAGCACTTAAAATGGGTTCTGGAGTCTGGAGTAGAAATAGAGAAATTCCACAATGCTCTCTTCTGGGAATCTGAGGCACAGTCACTCAACTAGCAGGGACTTGGGAGGATCCTGCTTTGCTTGACTCTTTCTCATGTCAAGTTGAAAAACCATTAAAATAATAAAGAATTATGACAGATTAAATATTTGTGCATTGTCTTGTGAGTCTAGCACACATACTTTTGTTTGAATTACAGTAAGTCCTCACTTAACATCAACAGTAGATTCTTGGAAACTCTGAGTTTCAATGAAACAACATGTAATGAAACTGATTTTACCGCAGATTAATTGGTATAAACAAGAGTTAAGTTTCTGTGGCTTATTTCTGGTCACAAAAACATCACCACTTCTAATATTAACCATTGAAATTAATGTGAGCTATACATACATGTAAGATTAATAAAGACAAGTAAGATAATTATTTACCCAGTTATTTCAGTTCATGGCCATGGGTGGCTGGACCCTTTCCCAGCAGCTCAGGGCTCAAGATGGGAATGCACCATGGATAGGATCCTATCTCATTGCAGGGCACACTCACCCACACCCCCTCACTCCGACTGGGACAGTTTAGACACGCTGATTCACCTCAGAGACACATCTTTGGGATGGGAAGGAACTGACGTATCCCAAGAAAACCCACGCAAACGTGGAAAGAACCTTCACGCTCTGCACAGGCGGTGCCCCGAGGGGAATCGGTTCTTTTCTTCTTATTAATGTTATAATGAAACTACGTTAAATGAAACTATTATTTGAGGACCTCCTGTACTTCCTCCATATAAAATATTTTCTCCTTATAATCATGCATATGTGTTTCTAGTCTTGTTTTTAAATTATATGTATTGAATCCCAAGTCCTACGTAATACTCATAAGTATTTTTAGTAATTGCCTATTATCATATTGGGTGATGTGTTACTAAACCTTCCAGTATTGGCTGTTTTTTTCCTCTCTCTCTCTTTTTTTTTTTTCTTTTTTTGTTATTGTAGATACTTCTTTGAACATCTTTAGTCATTTTCCTTTTTGTTCCTATTGAATATGCATTAGAATATATTTCTTTTTTTTTTTTTTTTTTGAGATGGAGTTTCATTCTTGTTGCCCAGACTGCAGTGCAATGGCATGATCTCGGCTCACTACAACCTCTGCCTCCTGGGTTCAAGTGATTCTCCTGCCTCAGCCCCTCAAGTAGCTGGAATCACAGGCATGTGCCACCATACCCGGCTAATTTTGTATTTTTAGTAGAGATGGTTTCACCATGTTGACCAGTCTGGTCTCAAACTCATGACCTCAGGTGATCCATCCGCCTTGGCCTCCCAAAGTGCTGGTATTACAGGTGTGAGCCACCCTGCCAGGCCTAGAATATAGTTCTTTTTTTTTTTCTCCCCCAACTAGAATATATCTGTATATGCAGACAGGCCCTAACTCAGGATGGTTTGACTTAATGATTTTTTGACTTTACGATGGTGCAAAAACAATGTACATTTAGTAGAAACCGTACTTCAGGTACTCCTACCCCCATTCTGTTTTTCACCCTCAGTGTAGTACTCATTCAGTTACATGAGATCTTCGACACTTGATTGTAGTAGACTTTGTGTTAGCTGATTTTCCCAGCTACAGACTGATGTTAGTGCTCTGAGCAGTTGAAGGTGGGCTGTGTTAAGGTATGATGTTCAGTAGGTTAGGCATATTAAATGCATTTTGACTATGATGTTTCAACTTACGATGAGTTTATTGGGAGGTAACCCCATTGTAAGTTGAGAAGCATCTCTATTAATATGTCAGAAGGCATAGACATTTTTGAGGGTTCTTTTGGATATGATTTAAAAATATAAATGCTTTCAAACATAAAAAATAGGGATGATGGTATCATGAACTATCATGTGTCCATCACTGGCTTCAGTAGTTACCACATCATGTCTAATCTTTTATCGCTACCTCAGCCTCCTTTCTCTACCTCTGGGTTAGTTTAAGGGACATCCCAGATTTGTAATCATTTCAACTCTTAATATTACATTAAATCTGGATAGCATTTTACCAAGTTGATCCCAGAATGATTTACCAACTGATAATATCACTAGCAGTTACTGATGCTGTGGTTTATCTGTAATCCCATAAAGATGGCTTGTTGTGCTCTGAAAGTTTTGATAGCTTCAGTAGGTCTGAAGTGGAATCATCGAGTTGCTTTACTTTATATCCCCTTTTATGAATCATTTTCCTTTTGCACATTTTTCTGTTGGAATCCCATGGGGTGGTGAGTTTTAAGCCTTAGCCTTGCTACATGAGAGCCAGCCTCTTTCTCAGCTTCTTAGGGCAGTTTCCGCTGTTTTCTTACTGTACAGAGAGCACAGATACTGCGGACATGGTTGTTTAGGGCACTTCTGGAAATGAGTCCATCCTTGCCCTTAGCTCTCATCAGTAGAGTAGAAGTAGCACTCTCACAGGCAGTACTCGGAATGCTTGCCACGTAAGGGGCTGGATCAGTGGGCATTATGCAGCCTGCCTCAGGGTGGTGACCAGGCAGCCCCCAGACCTGCTTGCTGTGGAAGGGTCAGCTGGGTTTGTGGTTGATACACAGCAGCTTGTGCTGACAACCAGATGGGTGCTTTGCCATCTCCATGCCATCCTGTCTGCCAGGGTCTCAGAGCCTAGAGCTAGTCCACAAGAACCCTCCTAGTCACGCACAGAGCTGGTTAAGGCTTTCTGTTGAGTGATTGGGACCAGTGGTTGGTCAGCCAATTAAGAAAGTACAGAGTACTGTAGACGTTCTGTAAACATTGTGCTGTGATTTCACCCACTAGTGGGTGCTTGTTCGGCTCTCTCATCATGTGGGGTTAGGGTGTTTGCTTTGAGTTGGCTCCTTTGGTTGGAGTCTTCTATTTCTGTCTTGTAGAGACCATCCTCATGACACGTCATTGCACTGCAGTTTCCAGGGGTAAGTCCAAGAGCAGACTTCTAGATTTTGAGACTATAGTGCTCCCATCCTTCCATCTTTTATAGTTTTCTCCATTCCCTGATTTGATGATAATTTGTAAAAGTACCTTCCTTTATTTAGTTTTCCTGTAGTATCTTAGTTGCCATAGAAACTGTGTCTGCCTTTTTCTCATTCACATTTTGACCATTTATGTAGTATTAGTTAAACTAGGCAATTAAAATAGTGTGACCCGGAAGCATCCACAGCTGATTCTGGCAAGGACTGAGTTCAGTGCAGGAGCAGAGCTGAGCAGGAGCCACAGGAGAGTGGCCTGGTCCTGCAGCCAGCGGACCTCAGCATGACCTGCAAGGGCAGGAGAATGCAGATTTTCCAGGAGAGCTTTTCATTAGGTCAGCTCACAGGTTCCATCGTGTTACATTTGGCTAGTTGGAGTTAACATTACTGAATGTTTTAAAATGTCAGGGCTGTGAAAGTAAATGCCATAATTCCCTAGTTTTGAAATTTAAACATTGCAAAAATAATCACTTGCTTCCAATACTGTTACCTGTACGAGATCAGCCCTTAGATTTACAATGGTTTCATTGTACTACTCTGTGCCTTTTGATTTTTGTCATTCATCATCCTCTGTTGGATTTGAGGCATTAGTGGGTATAAATGCATACTGTAGCCAGAATGCCTGGGTTTGTGTGGCCTTAGTGTCCTTAACCATTGTGTGCCTCGGTTTGCCCATCTGCAGAATAGGGATAAGAGCGCACTCAGTTGAGTAAGAGCATTTCAGTGTATGTAGTGCTGCAAGTGGTTGGAAATGTTCACCTTTGTTACCACTGAGGGTTTCACTTCTGCTCTTCATCCACATGTGCACATCACTAGTGAGTAGTTTGTTTTTTTCTTTTCTTTTTCTTTTTTTTTGGGGGGGGGGACAGAGTCTCACTCTGTTGCCCAGACCCTGGATTGCAGTGGCAGGATCTCAGCTCACTGCAGCCCCCGCCTCCCAGGTTCAAGCAATTCTCATGCCTCAGCGTGGGATTACTGGCATGCGCCACTACCCCTGGCTAATTTTTTTTTTTTTTTTTGGTAAATTTTGAAGAGACAGGGTTTCATTATGTTGGCCAGGCTGGTCTAAAACTTCTGGCCTCAAGTGATCCACCCGCCTCAGCCTCCCAGAGTGCTGGTATTACAGGTGCCAGCCATCAAGCCTGGCCAGCCAGCCTTTGAACCATTAAAGGAATAGAAGATCAAGGAGGAAAGCTAACCCTATTAATACCTGAGCAGTGTGAAAGCTACTTAGCTACTAGGCATTGTAGCTGTAAAGCATGGAAGACAGCAAACAGTACATTTCCAGTTGTAAATTTTAGTCTTGCAAATTAAATATTAAATTTGTCTGTGGTTTGTTTTTTTGAAGTTTTCACCTCTTAAGATAAATATTTTTTCTCCATAAAGACATGTAGTAAAAAAGAGTAGGCTGGGCCGGGTGCAGTGGCTCACGCCTGTAATCTCAGCTCTTTGGGAGGCTGAGGCAGGTGGACTACGAGGTCAGGAGATGGAGACCATCCTGGCTAACATGGTGAAACCCCGTCTCTACTAAAAATACAAAACATTAGCCAGGCATGGTGGCGGGCGCCTGTAGTCCCAGCTACTCAGGAGGCTGAGGCAGGAGAATGGCATAAACCTGGGAGGCGGAGCTTGCAGTGGCCTGAGATCGAGCCACTGCACTCTAGCCTGGGCACAGAGCAAGACTCCATCTCAAAAAAAAAAAAAAAAAATCAAGTTATATATGCAGATTTAAGGTTTAATTTAAAAATTGGTTTGCATGCATACTAAGAAGCTAATTTGCTTTAAGTGAGCATTTCCTTTTTGGGCTTTTGTTGGGCACTGTGTCTCTTCCATGTTCCCAATTTGTCTGCCACCCAGTAAGCATGGTGTGGAGGGCTGAAGTAGAAATCAAAGGCTGGAGTCTGAAAGCTTCTTTAGGGTTCTGCTCTTTGCAGATTAGGGACCTTGGCCCTTAGTGAGCTGAGGATCTTGGTTTCCTCCCAGTGCGGTTTCAGGGATGTGGGCCACACGATGTGCCTGCTGTGGAGGAGGGCTGGGGTGCCAGTGTGACAGGAGACAGCAGATCCCTTTTGTGAAAGGAGAACTGGCACTTCATGTGATGTTAAACTTCACAAACTGCTGCTTAGAGATCTGCTACTTTCCTTCTTTTTTAGGACTTTATGGACAGCAGCCTGCTAACCAAGTCATCATTCGAGAGCGGTATCGAGACAATGACAGTGACCTGGCACTGGGCATGCTGGCAGGAGCAGCCACAGGCATGGCCTTAGGGTCTCTATTTTGGGTCTTCTAGGGGCCTCAAGGTCTTGATGTGCATAGCTTCTGATAACCCTGTGTGCAATAATATGATTTGCAGGGCATTTCTGTTTGTGACGAATGTTTTTAATAATAGTTTTAATGGTTCCTTTGAAAGTAGTGATGTCATAATTGTAACTAATCCACATAAGTACCACAGAGAAAGGTTGGAACTGTGCTGTTGTGTTCAAACGCTGGCTCTCCGGGGCACTGGCTCATTCCAAGACTGTCCTTGTGCAACTCTCGGAACACCTTATTTGAGCATACCTGTTTTGAAAGGCATTTTCCTTTTAGAGTTAGGTGTAGTGCTTAAGGGTTAATTTATTTTCATGTTATACTGGTAATATAGTGTTGTATGCCTAATGAGTGATTGTGGCAAGAAAAGCTATAGCTTTCCATTTAACTTTTTCAAACCACAGACCAGAACTGGTTGCTTGTTACTTTAGGAGTTGTGGGTTGGTAAGCTCCCAGGTACTTCCCGGGGCCATGGTGTGAGAGCCCCTGTCCTGCCCTCTGGGGCTCCACAGGCCCCCGGCAAGGCCTACGGCTCAGGATGACAGGGCACAGCCTGCCTTTGAAAAATGATGCTTCAGAAGTCTGCCTGACTCTAGCTGCTGCTTCTCACCTTATTCTGGTATGGTTTTGGTAGCCATACTTGGAGAACGTTTCCCGCATTGGGAATTGATTTGAGCCTGCAAGTTTGAGGGCTTTATCCTTTAAAACTTGGAGAAGCCGGAACAACAACAAACAAGTGTGTGGAGGCAGATTTGCTTTATTCCAAGAGAGCTGTTTGAGTGTGTGTCTGCCTAAGCCTCCCGATAGCCTAGTTTTCTACTTGCTGAGGAAGTAATGTTAAAGAAACAGCGAGGGAGCGGAAGGAGAGCCTTAGTTAGGGCGTTCCCATTTCAGGCCTTCACCAGGTTGCGCTGTGCGGGAGATGCTCTCATCTCTCTGAAGGCCCATCCTGTGCAGAAGTGGGGCCTGTGGCTGTTCACGGAGCACCAGGGCAGACCGTAGCTGAGCAGACTTGGGTTATGGGTGGGAAATGGGGCCCAGGGACCCTCAGGACACAGGGACCGGCTCAAGGTACCACTCAGCCTGGCCAGGATCCCCAGCCGTGCTTTTGTTCTTGATCTCTTTGTGATAGAGAAGCTTAGAACATTGAATTTTGAGCCCCAAAATGTGTGAGTCTTTGGAAAAACCATTCCAGCCTTTCTGTCAAATGCTCTTATTTTCAATATTCTGAAGTATGTATTTGAAATATTCACATTTCTGTTATTTCTTGTTTTTAAGCTCTGAATTATTCCAGTTTTCTGTCCTGCATGCTTTCAACAGTGTGCTTTTACAGAGGCAGTTTAGCACAGTGAATGTCCCTGCCCCACACTCCATATGGTCCTGTTGTCCTGAAAATACACTCCAGGTAGCACAGACTTGTTATTTTGCCTGGCTGGTTACACACATGCTGTCTTGCTTTGCTGCTCAGCCGCCTCCCTCTGAGGCCAACTTAGGCCAACCTACCTGGGACTCCATCTGAAGTCAGACGCCAGAGAAACTGAGTGGTGACCACGGGTCTGCTTTTCTCTCTGATCCTAGGGGACGTGTTGACATGGGAGTATCTGTTCCCACATGGAAGGATGTGTGTTTATCTCTCATCTCTGAATAGATGTAATATATGACAAGTCTAGTGTCCATGGTTTAAAATGTTGCTTTGAGGATTCTCCATCCTGTATAAGAAGAATGACTTTCTTCAGATTATAATCATTATTAAAGCTGTATGTACCCTTTACTTAAAAACTATTAACAGTTTTTCATGTTGCACTGGTAATTTTGAACTTGGAATTGCTGGGTGAGAATTCCAGGAACCACAGAGTATTGATTTTTGCTGCCAAAATGCTATTGAGGCAGATGTTCCTGTGCTCCCTTGGCTGCTTCTGGCTGAAGGGGAGAGGTGTGGACTGAAGCTTGGGCACTCATGTGTGTCCCCTCCCCAGTCCCCATCCCAGTGGGGCCAGCCTCATTAGGCAGCCATAGATGAGCCTGGAACTTGACTGTCACTAGTGACTTGATCCTGGTGTAAAATGCATACTCGGGATAAGGTCACTCAGGTATTTTATTTCTTGGCCACAACTCCCATAGATGCCAATGTTTTGATAGCCTCGGTTTCTCAACGATGTCCTTTGTTTACAGTGCTACACTTCATACAAGTCAAGAAGTACTTGAGTTAGAAGAAACTTCTTATTCAGGTTTGAGTAAGCATTTTACTTCCATGTGTACTTTTAAATAATCCATACCTTGAAGAAGTTGGCCAGTGACATTATATACATGCTGATCCGGTTGTTCTTTTCATTCCTTGAGTCAGCTTCAGGGTCTTGGATATTAAAGAGGAGAGGGAGAACTGTTAATGTTTTGGGTCATCATTTGTGAACAAGGCCAGACTTTGCCCATTTTAGGTTATCCAGGACTCAAGGTAGCCATCTGGATCATAAGAAGGTCCTGCAGTTGAGACAAAATGACCCAAGTGTATTTCCCACAAGTTTTGATCCTCTGTAATATTTCTTTTTCCTTCCCTAGTGTGTGTAGATGAAGGCATGGAATGCAGTTCCACTTTCTCCCCAGAGTTGATCTTTTTGTGATTGCTTTCCCGTCTCTAGTATTCTGTTGTGTCTAGAGAACTGATTTTTTCCTACATATGCAGATTGTACATTTGTAAGTGAAAATGTCAATACATTAAAGCATTAACCTTAAAGCATGTTTCATTGTGACTTCTGTGTCTTTAAAAAATTACTTTGTAGTAACATACTCTCAGCTTTTTCTGCTGTCATGGATCATAAGAATGCCATTTATTGAGAACCTACCAAATGCTAGACTATATCGTCACATCAGAGACAACTCACTGAATTCTTAGTGACTCTGTAAGGGAGGTATTCCACTGGAGGGACCAAGGTCCAGAAGTTAAATAATTTACTCAGGAGCATGCAGGTAGTAGGTCTCCACATCTGAGGTTAAAACGCCTTCTTGCTCCCTGTGGCATGTGAATATATGATTTCCACAAACAGGAGTGGCCTGTGTAGTCACACTCGGGATGGCTGTGAGAAAATGGACACTATTTTTCCCGCCCAGACTCCCCGGCAGTGTGTGTCCAATAACTTCTCCAGCATCTTTGGATACATGACTTTGTTTTTTGTTATTTTTATTTTTTAACTTTTATTGTTTTTTTGAGACAGAGTCCCACTCTGTCACCCAGGCTGGAGTGCAGTGGCCGGATCTCAGCTCACTGCAAGCTCCACCTCCCGGGTTCACGCCATTCTCCTGCCTCAGCGTCCCAAGTAGCTGGGACTACAGGCGCCGCCACCACGCCCGGCTAATTTTTTGTATTTTTAATAGAAACGAGGTTTTACCGTGTTAGCTAGGATGGTCTTGATCTCCTGACCTCGAGATCCGCCTGCCTCAGCCTCCCACAGTGCTGGGATTACAGGCGTGAGCCACCACGCTGGCCAGTTATTTTTGTTTTAAAAAATCATTTTAGTTCCTGAATTGCCTCCCTCTCCTCTGGGCTAGCTTTTCTGGCTGCCTCCCATGTTGCAGACCATGGCTGTGTGGTGATCGTGTTTGCCGGTTACAGTTATTTCTGGCTGCCTCCCATGTTGCAGACCCTGGCTGTGTGGTGATGGTGTTTGCCGGTTACAGTTAAGTTGGGGGAGCCACACCGTGGAAGCTCTGTCTCTTGCTTTTGTTTGTTTAGAGAAGAATCCTCTGATGTTTTGCCTGGAGACCATGTTTCTGGAGGGGTTGGGCTGAGGTGGTGTCATCCACACACAGATTTTCTGGCCTATTCCATCTTCCCTGGGGCTGGCCTTCCTGCTTCCTCTGGCCCCTAGGGGTTTTGTTTTGTTTTGTTTTGTTCTTTTGAGAGGAGTCTCGCTCTGTTGCCAGGCTGGAGTGCAATGGCACGATCTCAGCTCACTGCAACCTCTGACTCCAGGGTTCAAGCGATTCTCCTGCCTCAGTTTCCTGAGTAGCTGGGATTACAGGCGCACGTCGTCATGCCCAGCTAATTTTTGTATTGTTAGTAGAGACAGGGTTTCACCATGTTGGCCAGGATGGTCTCAGTCCCTTGACCTCGTGATCCGCCTGCCTGGGCCTCCCAAAGTGCTGGGATTACAGGCGTGAGCCACCGCGCCCAGCCCCCTAGGGTTTGTTTTTTAACTTACTTTCGTGAATAGATTATACATAGCTAGAAAATTAACAACAAAAAGATACATTCAGTAAAAGGTCTTTCATCTGCCCAGTACCACTGATAGTGGTTTATCCTTAATGGGTTTCTTTATGCATTGTAAGCTAGTACAAGATGATTTTTCTTTCTTTTTTACACGAAGGTAGTATACGATATACAACAGTGGTGCTTGAATCAATCTCAGTATGATTTTACACTACTAAGTTTTTGAGCCCCCAAAGAGCTTTTAAAATGTGAATCAACTGGGCGCAGTGGCTCAACCTGTAATCCCAGCACTTTGGGAGACCAAGGCGGGCAGATCACGAGGTCAGGAGATTGAGACCATCCTGGCTAACATGGTGAAACCCCATCTCTACTAAAAATACAAAAAATTAGCCAGGCATAGTGGTGGGTGCTGTAGTCCCAGCTACTCGGGAGGCTGAGGCAGGAGAATGGCGGGAACCCGGGAGGTGGAACTTGCAATGAGCCGAGATTGCACCACTGCACTCCAGCCTGGGCGACAGAGCAAGACTCCGTCTCAAAAAAAAAAAAAAAAAAAAAAGTGATTTATATCAATATTATATTAGAAAATAAAATTGAGATTTACAAAATGATAAACCCATTGTATAGTGATATTTATTTTTATTTAATTTTTTTTTTGGGTGTGTGTGAGAAAGAGTCTCTATCTGTCACCCAGGGTGAAGTGCAGTGGTGTGAACTTGGCTTACTGTATCCTCTGCCCCCCAGGTTCAAGCAATTCTCCTGCCTCAGCCTCCTGAGTACCTGGGATTACAAGCACCCGCCACCACGCCTGGCTAATTTTGTATTTTTTTAATTAGAGACAAGGATTCATCATGTTGGCCAGGCTGGTCTCAAACTTCTGACCTCAGGTGATCTGCCCGCCTTGGTCTCCCAAAGTGCTGGGATTATAGGCATGAGCCACCCAGAGTGACTTTTTTTTTGAGGCAGTTTCACTCTTGTTGCCCAGGCTGGAGTGCAATGGCGTGATCTGGGCTCACTGCAACCTCCGCCTCCCAGGCTCAAGCGATTCTCCTGCTTCAGCCTCCCGAGTAGCTGGGATTACAGGCGCCCGCCCCCATGCCCGGCTAATTTTTTTTTGTATGTTTAGTAGAGATGGCATTTCATCATGTTGGCCAGGCTGGTCTCGAACTCCTGACCTCAGCTGATCTGCCTGCCTCGGCCTCCCAAATCGCTGGGATCACAGGCGTGAGCCACTGCACCCGGCCTATAGCGACATTTTAAAAGAACGTAGAAAACTTATTCTTCAAAACAGAATCAGTGAAGCATGACATTGTTTTCACATCACAATTTTCTTTAGTACCATGCTTAGTAG